TCGGATTCTTGATTCATTTGAACACTTCTACTGATTATGGTTAAACCATGTTAAAAGTATGGTATCATTTGAACACTTCTAATATGAATGAGTCGGATTCTTGATTCATTTGAACACTTCTACTGATTATGGTTAAACCATGTTAAAAGTATGGTATCATTTGAACACTTCTACTGATTATGGTTAAACCATGTTAAAAGTATGGTAAGGTAGGGTTAGATTGTAACTCTATTTTCAGATTAGTCGGGTTGACCCGACCGAAACTATGTCAATTTACGAACCAACCCAAGTCTTCAATTTTTCAAAATTCAAACCAACCCAAATCGAGAAAAAAAAAATCTAACCTAACTCAATGTAAAATTTATGGTTTGAACGGTATAATATGGATTGATCAAATTCTCGAGTCATTTGAACACCTCTAGTAATTATAGATACAAGTAATTACGAGCATTTATTTTTTTAGATACTAAAACAACATTTTCAAACGTATTATATCTCATCTGATCTCTTTAATAATTTTAAAATGGTATAGTTTAGGGTTTAGGGTTATTTTTAAAAAATAATATCATATAATTAATATTCCTTATGCTATATAATATCCAAACCCAACATAGAATAAAGATAAGATATAGAAAAAAAAGAAGACTTTGGCCATCTTTTTAATTGGTTTGGCCATAATGCCATGGTTAGTAGAATGATTTATTAGGCATAACACTTTATAAAGCTTTATATATATATATATATATATATATATATTTGATAAGATAAGAATATTAATCAAATAAATATTCCATACATAGCAATTTATAGTATCTGATCTAGAAGTCTGTGTTTGAACGCATTTAATTGAAATTTGCCTAACATAATTCGTTAATGTTCTAATCAACCTAACCCGAGCCATATGGTTCGGGTAGGATTGTAAATTTATTTGAATTCTGTTAAGTTCAGATAAACGAAAATTTATGGATTAGGTTGGTTCATGGATTCTCGGACTAAATTGAATTAAACCAAACTAACATGAATTTATTATTAATTTTAAAAGATACAAATTATATATACATATTTTTATTTATTGTCATGTTTTTGTCTGACCATTGGGTGATCACTAACAGTGGTATTTGTGGGTCTAATAAGCTCAACTGGTACTAAGTCATTTAACTGCTCGTAGAATTCAGCTAGCTCGAGTTTAAACGTATGACATTCGTTCGTGGCAGACGATTCTGCTCCTGATATGATATCAACCTCGCTATTTATCCTCCTAAGTGGAGATAAATACTTTGTCTGACTTCCTTGTCTCACGTCGCAGTGTTTTTGAGTTGACCGCAAGATTTTTGTTGGGGTTGGCTCGTTTGAGCTTCCCTCTGTAGTGATAACAAGTATAGGTTCATCATGGCTTAGATCTTTCCGACATCTAAAAAAAAGATTAATTTTAATTTTTTTTCCAAATTTAAGTCGAAATTAAGTGATAAATCTTAATTAAATGTTTCAAAATAAATAAATAGTTTTATTAAAAATAAAAATTTGATTAAATGATCTCACAACTCGAACTCAAAAAATTTAAAATTTAATAATAATTTAATTGGATTAATTAAATATTTTAATTTAATTATTAAATTTAATTTAATTTCCCTCTTTTTATTATATCTTTTAAAAGATTCTAAGAACATATCTTGAAGGTTGAATGCATCTTTTTTTTTTTGGTATAAAAGTAATTTTAAAAAAATAATAAAATAAAAATTTAACTTTTGTGGCGTGGCATTTCTCCACTTTAATTTTGTAATTAATTAATTCATAATTATTCCCAATAAATTTTTAATTAATAAATTTAGAAATCCAAGAAGCTTCTTGTTTGGAAGGACCAATTAAACTTCGACCACTAACCAGATATCAATTTATAATTAATTCAAATATTTATTAATGTCTTTATTTAACTATATAGTATATTTGATTGATTAATTAGACTATGGTCTTGGAGTGATGATAATTTAAATTTAATATTAATAATGCCATATCTTTTTTAGAATATGATATTGATAAATAAATAAATATTACCTGCCACATATTTCCACTTTTTAAAGTAATTTTTGGTGTTTATTAATCGGGGATCTAATTATTCTTTCATAATTATAATAACACGTTTCCTTCAACCATATAATAAAAAGTTAGTGCTTTCATTTTCGTACTTTCACTTTCTCACATATATGGATTTCTAATGATATACAAAATTAGGGTTTAGGGTTTGGTGATTGTTCGGGTTTTTAAAATCAGTCTGTAAATACTAATTTTACTTATAAATTTCAAAGTTTTGCTTTCTACTGTTGTGAAAATCTTCACTGGTTCGGGAGGAGAACGAAACACCGTTTATAAGGGTGTGGAAACCTTTTCTTAGCGCACACGTTTTAAAGCCTTGAGGAGAAGTTCGAAGCGAAAAGCCCAAAGAGGACAATATCGGCTAGTGGTGGATCTGGGGCGTTACAAATGGTATTAGAGCCAGACACCGGACGATGTGCTAGCCTTCTCGTTGTTCCCCGAATGGGGTAGACATGAGGCGGTGTGCCAGTAAGGACACTGGGCCCCAAAAGGGGTGGATTGTGATGTCCCATAAGGGTGTGGAAACCTTTCCATAGGAGAGACGCAGAAGCCCAAAAGGAAAAGTCCAAAAAGGACAATATTTTCAACCAAAATTCTTATCAAATCGGGACTAAACGATTCAAAAAGCTAAGGGAATAAGAGTTAATATTAGTGATTTCGGGATTTGTTCCCGAAACCAAATTAGGGTTCTTTTTCAACGAGCATGTGTTGAAGAGATTTAGATCTAATTTCATCCTCTTAAGATCAATAGTATGTATCTTAACGAGTTGACGTCTAAATGAATTTACGTCTAATTAATTATATTTATTTTTTATTTAATTGAAATTAAATAATCCAAACTGCAACGTAGTACTTTAAACCTCATCACTAGCAACTCAATTAAAGATATGATTAAAAATTACAATCACATGAATTTTAGCTACTCTTTTTGTGGTAATCACGTATCTAGATATGACGAAGTATATCTTGAGCTAGGCTATAAAGAACGTTCACTATCTAAAAGAGTCTACGTAACCTATAAACTCGACTTTTCAACGGTCACGTTTGAAGCCACGTATGACAAAAGATGTCATTCACTTGTATTTTGGGATGAGGTGTGACAACATCAGCTCTCGGGACCTAAAGTTCATATCACTATTGAAACAGTGTAGAAAATTAAGATGATGATGTAAACATCGCAAATTAGACAGAAAAGCTTCTGTTTTGAACATTTTAACCTATTTTCTTAAATAACGACTCGAAAATTTTCATTTAATTTAAGGTCACTATTGTATACATATCATAAACATTGAATGCGGAAATACATCATTTAAACTTTCATAAAACATGACCTTTAGCTTAAAACACAACCATGGACTTACGTGTTTTGAAAACACCTTTAAAAACGACACAACAAACGACTAAACAAAATAAATAAACGTTTAAATTAAAAACATTTTATTCTAGCCTAAGTCTAAGAAAATAAGTACGACAACCTGTGCATGTGCCATGGTCTCGATCGAAATGTTTTGCTTTAACTTGAAATAGAGGTAGCTCGTAGCTACTCAGTAAGTGACCCCCACTGTTGGGGGTTAAATGCAAGAACATGTGAATGCAATGACGGGATTTATCATATCAGTCTATCCATACGTACGAGTATGGGCTCACCAGTCAGTTCGCATACCCCGAGGTCCATATGTAAATAATGATTGGGTTAGTATTGAAAATTCGAACAGTTCGTGTAAAGCGGAGGGGTATTTTGGTGTCCCTTGGGAGGGTAGAAGGGGCAAAGTGATGGGAAAAGAAGGGCATGAGGAGACATCGAGAAGGGTCTTTTTAATGGGGGGAGTGGCAGAGCTCACTCACTCACACACACACACCCAATATGAAGTGTTCAATAATGAAGTTAGGCAGCAAAAGACAGTTCACCCAAAACCATTTTTTTAATACCCAAAAAG